CTTGCTCTTCATCCACCCCGAGGCAGAGCTCCATACATTCCAGTTGCTCTCTCACATAAAGGGCAACTCCACCCCCTCGCCTTCCTGGCCTGTCTTGCCTAAAAAGCACCTATCCATCCAGGACAGCCTTCCAGTCATGTGAACTATCCCACCATGTCTCTGTAACCGCAATGAGATCAAGGCCCTGCGACTGCACACAGATCTCTAATTCTTCCTGCTTATTCCCCATGCTGCATGCATTGGTGTACAGGCATTTCAGAGAGCCAGTCAGGCATGCAAGCTTCCCAGGAGAGGTGCAAGAGGATCCTCCATAGTCATGTCTCATGTGCTCTTCCCCAGCTGCATGAACCTAGTGGAGGCATCCATACTCGAGGGGCATTTTACTGACTAAAGACAGGAGACAAGAGGTGTTAGAAATATCTTGCGTTATTTGTCTTCACTTGTTATCCATTTGCATCACTTAGGTAAATTTGGTTTAAAAAAAAAAATTAACAAGTTAAAAATTGTATGGGGGGAAAAAAATAACATAAAATAATCTCAGTGCTATTAAAAGCTTACTACTATTTCCGTTAGTTTAATAAACACTTTTCCTCCAAATCTTGGGTGTGTTAGAATTGGAAGTGTAATGTCCCCTGCTATGCTTTTCCGCATAATCAGAAATGAAGTTCTCTTAATCTGGGTTGTGAGTTTTTGTACATGTTTGTGTTTAAGGCCAGACTAACTAAAAAAGAATTTGACCTTGCAGATAGATTAGTCAGTCTTAATTGCTGTTCCTGCAAGGGCAGTGGCGTCATAAAAGACACTTTAAAAAAAAAAAACAAAAAAACTTTCTGTAACAGAAATGTATATATGAATAGTTACATTTGGGGAAAAACTACAGTTTTTTTATAGCTATGTTTTACTGCTTAAAAAAATCCGTCACTAAATGATTTCTCACTTCAGTGCTCAAGGTTTCCCTAAACTGCTTTGACTGTTCTGAAATGCATATAATAAGACTTTGGGAGAAGGTGGGAAACTGTAGCCGTGGACAAATTAAATTTTAGTAGGAGAGGGAGGATTTCTTTTCTTTCTTAGAGTGGCCAGCGTTCCACTAGTATCTTAAAATGCTTTCTGACATGTAACAGGAAGAGAACAGTGCTGGAGTACTATCCCCTTATTTGCAAACAGATGTTTTGTTCCTTTCCTTTTTAGCTTTGTGCTTATAGTTGTTCTTACGTTCATTTGTAGTAGGTGTTAACTGTAGTTTGTTATAAATTTAAACTGTAATAATGAGCTCTTTAGAAGAGAATGTAATTCAGCTGGTGCTTGTGAAACCATACTGGTACTTATTCTGGTCCTTATTCTGAATTGCCTATCATCTCTAAATGCTCATCTGTAATTAGGAGATTTAGGCAGAGAGCTGAGATCCTAATGAAACACTGTGGCTTATCTGGGTAGAGGTTGATAATTTGCTTTCTCATTGGATTCTGTCTCTAGATGTATTACTCTCAAATGTCTCATGAAGCTTTACACCTTTCCCCTTCCCCCTTTTTAAAGCCAGTCACAAGAAGCTGGCTGGCTGGCTGGCTGAACTAAGAGGTGCTTAGATAGGCTTAGATGTTGTATCACACAATGATTTTTTTGTTTTTGGGTTTTTTTTTTTAATCACATCTGCTGCACAGCTGCAACATGAGTCACAGCAGAGAAGTACAGGAGAACATAGCATGCATGAGAATATAAACTGACGACAGGTGGAATGATGAGAAAGTGTTCATAAAGCTATAGAAACCCAGGTGGCAAGTGGAATATGTAGTGGTCTAAACTTTCCCTGTGTACAGATTTTTTTTTTTTCCTTTTCAGAGGCTGACTGATGTATTCAGACGTTATGATACTGATCAAGATGGCTGGATTCAAGTGTCTTATGAGCAATATCTTTCCATGGTCTTCAGCATTGTATGACAGGACAGCTAGGAATTGCACACTGGCATTATTACAAACTGGAGTTGCCAAATCATCATGTACTGAATAAGATTACTGATATATCAGAATGGATATAACTTCTCATTCTTAAGTTTTTTTTATGTTGGTCATCACCTTTCACGATCTCTGTACTGTCTGTTGGCTTTTACTTTGTATTGCTCTGCCACCTGACCATAGCATGCTTACTGCAGTACAGAAAGCACAGAACCTAGATTTAACTCACCTTAACTTTCTTCCGCATATCTTGCATGGGGAAAAATGACTTTTTAGAAATGCCAAATTAAAACAGTGCTTGTTAGGTTTGTAAGAAATTTGAAAGTCAGAACTTGCACAACATGTTTTGCATGTGCCTTACTTTTATAAAAGTTTAATGTATTAATTTTTAATACATAGTGTAAAACTAAGTAAAAATATTAGACCAACCTTTTCTAGTCTACTTTTTTGCACAGATTTTTTTTAAGGGGGTAGTGTTTGCATTTCTGTAGTTTGTTTTCCTGTGGCTTAGAGCAAAGTTAGAGCTTGAACCTTAAGCAGCACCAGGGCCTTAGTATACATACAACCTACGGTACAGCCAGTGAAGTTTGGAGACGGGGGGAAAAAAAAGGGTTGTTTAAAAGATTTTCCTTACATAAGTATATTAGGGAATGGGATAAACTAGTATTATTACATAGTAGGCCAGGGTGGTTCTTAGCTGAATACACTGCTGGCCAAGTTAATGGTTCTGTCCAAGCTTCTCTTAATGTTGTCTGCTACCGGATACAATGGCAGTAGATGAAGTTCATTCCTTTGCACCTCAGGATGGTAAAACTACATTTTCTTGTAGTTTCTTTGCTGTCTTGTGCAAGCTCTTTTGCCTTCTTTTTCCCACTCATGCTCCTCAGCAAACATACTTCCCTGGGTAGAGCACTGATGGCATAAATGTGTCTGTGCTATCTTAGCTGGACAGGTGACAGGGCAAACGTTTTTTTAAACTGACTCTGGTAATACTAAGTTGCTAAAATGCTTCCCTTTTTGAGAAGCTATGCCAGGTAAAATTTGACGTATTTTGCCATGATCAAGATGGTAAAATTTCTGCCAGTGACTGTGAGAAACACAAGCCTAAACACATACACGATCTTTGTGCCAAACTGCTCCTAAATCAATACTTTTTCACATGTCACTGTAACAAAAATAGTGATGACACTGAAATATAAACACTGTTACCCTACTTAACTGAGACCTTTTCGCCTCCTAGCCTGTACTTTAACTGAATGTATACAAAAGGATCAGGTAACTCTGCAGAAGGTCCCAAAGCAAAGTAGCAAATTGGTAACAAAAACCCAAATGATCATCCTGGAACCTGCTGATTGGGGGGAGGAAGATACTGCCTTGAGTTAAAAGCAAGCCACCTAAAGGGGATGGAAGATGTCATCTACAGAAAAAAATGATACAGTTAAGACTTAAATCTAATTGTAAACTGGCCATTTTGCACCAGTAAGGAAATTAAAACGGACAGGAAAGTAAAATAAACCCTGTTTGCATAACACACATGTTTTCTCTTCCTTGCATCCTCTTTTCCCTCCAACTTACTAGGCTTGGCTTTTATTCTTGCCTTTAATCTTTTCATTTTCTAGCTGCCACTTTTTCTTTTCTCCCTTACAATCAGAGTAGAAAGCTTCTTCAGGACATCTTCAAATAGAATTTCTGAACACCTGTGTCCAATACATCTTCTGCAATGAGTCCTACAAAAAAAAAAAAAAACCCACACCTGGCATCTAATTACTCTGAATATGTAGTTCCCTCTGCTCTGCATCTAAAATAACTAATCCTTCTGTGTTGAAGCACTTACTCTGATGTGGCCTTGAGTTGACAGTCAAACGTTCTCAAAAGCTTACCCTTCATCTCTCCAGCTACATCTGGTGAGGGACACAGTGAAAAATTAATTGCAAAAAAAAGCAATTAATGATTCCTGTCACATGCCATCTCCCACAATAACTTTGAAGAAGCACACAGAAATTAGCAAGTTTTTTTTTTTTTTAATTTAGTAATTTAAGGAATACATTATCCAATTCAATTAAAAAAATATTCAAGCAGAACTATTACTTACCTGAAGCTGTTACTCTTCAGGATATGTTCACAAAGGTACCTATAGGCAAGAGCTTTTAGTCAAAGACTTTTTCTTAAACCACTGCAATACTGATGCATTTCCAAGGCCACCTCCCACTCCAGGTAGTTGCATGCAGGCAGTCCACATGCTGCTATTTGTCTCCAATTGCATAATTAACTACAGATACAGGGAAATAAGCTGTCTTTCACAGGAGCACTTATACATAAACCAATGCTGTGAGTGATATCAAGAACCATTCTAGGAGATTATGCAGAGAAGGGTCAGTCCTCAAACCAAAGGCAACACTCCTAAAAATCAACATCATTCCTAAGCACCTCCAGCCAGAGTATAGTACCTAGCATGAGGGTAAAGACAGCCACATGGCAACACTGCAGGTATCAGTGCTAATGAAACACTGCAGTCCTCAAGTGCTAATGAAACAGGACCTTAGTGACAGTTTGATTAACATTTTTTTTTTTAAAAGATTGTTTTCTAGTATGAAATATCTGGAAACAGTCTGATGGTCTCCAAAGGGCTCTGTAGCATAAGCACATAAAAACAAGGAGTTCTCCCAAAGAGATTCTGTGCATCCAAGAGGGATTTTTATCATGCAAAGGGCAATGGATTACTTCTGTGTGATAGTGGGTATGCGTGTGTGTGTTGGGGGTGGGGGGGGGGGTTTAGGAATAATGAAAAACAGATGTCAAAACCACTTCAACAAGGATGAATTGTGAAAGCTCATTTGTCTTTATGGAGATAGATAAGAAAGAAAAACATCCAACTGTTAGAGCCTGCACCTCACCCACCCAGAAAGCTGAGAAGTCACGAAATACGTTTTTTTCAGAAGCAATAAAGGAAGAGCCTTGGACTCAAAAGACCTTCTCCATTAAAAGGGAAGAAGACTAAATTAGAGTCCCACTAGGAAATCACATCCCTTTGGATAACATATCTGACCAGAGCATCGAAGACTATTAACAGGTCCAGGGTAGTGAAACTAAAAAAAGCTGGAGCCAGAGAAATTAGGCAGGTTGTGTCCTGTGAAAGAGGTCATCCTCTATCAGTCAGTCTCATCCTTCACTGTCTTTAGTGTAAAGCAAGTACAGCTAGAACATTCTAAAAGAGCCTTACTGCTGGGGAAGCACCATAGTGCAGAACCCTGGACTGGAATGCCTCTATCTCTGTGGAAAACAGAGATGCTTCTGATGCAAAAAAACAGATCAAGATGTGAAAGCACATATACTGCAGACTGAGAAACATAAAATAGCCTCCCTTTTAATTTGGAAGTTACTTATTCTAATAAAAGCATCCTTTTTGTAACTAGAAATTCAACTGGAAAATAAGAGCTTTAAGAAGGAAGGGGTTTTAGGCAGGAGAGGTCTGCTCCACAGCTGCAGATCAAGCAACGGACTTTTTGAGAGATCACTGAAGAGATATGAGGAATACTGACAAGAACTGGCACAGGCTGTTGTATCCAAACCTTTTTTGCAGAAATTATGAATCATTATACTAGCTAGAAAATTTACAGTTTATCCCCCAAAGTATTTTCTACTTTGGATTTTTAACAATGGTTTTTATAAGGAAAAGTGATATTATTTCAAAGGGCTCTGGTATAGCCTCAAAAATCTTGCTCAGTGTAAAAGCTTGTGGTATAGTCGTATTAGTGCTGAAGGATGACAAGCATTTGAACAATGGTGCTCTGCAGGCTATCAATGCCTAGCTTATGAAAATTATTTCTTGATGAAGGACCAAAGTCTAAAGAAACAGGAACAGGAAGAGGACTCATTCTGCTCCAGTTCTATACTACATGTGAGCAAGAGGCAGTAGATATGGCACTGAGTTTCCCTGGATATAAGCAGTAGCCAGAAGGTGATTCAAGGAAAGGGGCCAAGACAGGAAAACAGGAGTAGCAAGAGGTCTCAGCTCATGTATGTTGAAGAAATAACTGGGAGGATGACAGAACTAGGGCCCATTTTACTACTTTTTTTTTTCTTCTTCTTATTCATCTCTGTGAGGTCCTCTTACCTGCTGCCTTTGGGGACACTAGAGGTCTGTGGTTTTTTTTGTTTTTGTTTTGTTTTAAAGTTGGAGCTTTAAAGAGTCAGGTGCCTGGAATTATGCTTTCCTTTTCCTAGTATCAGCTGAATCCTGCTTTAAAGGTGGCAGGGTTGAACTGAATGAGGAGGAATAAGAAATTTTTAAAAAGTAATAAAAAAAATCATTCCTGGCACAAGGGCAAACAATCCCTTTACAGAGCTGCACCCTGAAGATGCTTCTGTTTTTCTTTTTTCCCCCCCTTCATTTGAATGCTAAGAAATTGGACTCCACAAAGCAGTGTGTTCCTGGGATAACAGAGGTGCTTGTTTGAAGTCAGCTAATACAGAAGTTGGCTATACCTGTTTGATAAGAACAAGGACATAGGAGGAAAAAAAAGTCTGAAATCAGTTGGGGAGGTGATATCTATATCGAATAGCCAGTCAAATTTGGGACTGCCAAGTGGCAAACTCCAGCCCAATATCACTACCCAAATTGTACACTGAAGCCCTTAATTTCCAAAGAAGAAAGATAGAAAGAGAGTAAGGAGAAAGCAGTGATGCAGCTCAAACTTTGGCTCATCCAAATGTCTGAAAGGAACTGAGAAAAAACACACTACACTGTTGGTAGTAATTGCACATTAGGAATAAGGGAAGATTGGTGCACATATTACAAAATACCATCAGCTTAAAAAAAACTCCCTAGATAATAGTGCTTACATACAAGAACCAATAGACAATCATCTCAAGAACTTTACTGAATTTGGTAAGAACTGAACAACTACAGAGAAACAAGGGGCATCTACAGACTCTCAATGCTTATCTACAGACCATGGAACCTTCAGTAAACCAATACTGAAAAGCATTTCCTACCTTAGCTTGGTCATTATTCCAACTCTATTTCAAAATGCAGCAAGTGTTTCCCTAGTGCAGGATCCAGTGCAAAAAAGCAGGAATAGGAACTGTTCCCCAGAACAAAAAATAAGAACATGGGAACGTGGAGGCAGAAAGAGCATCTATTTTAGGAAGAGGTCAGCCACCTGATATATGCCACTCGGAGATACAATAATAGCAGTACAACCCCAAAGGGAATGAGAAATGGGAAAAGAGTTCTCTACAATTACCTCAACTGAAAAAGCAGCATTCAAATGTCTTATCTTTAACTGATTGATAGAATTGTAGAAGTAAGGAATATCTTTTTGGTAACCTTTTTTTTTTCTAGTTTCACAATTTTAGTTACACTACACTTTCTGTGAAAAAACTGGTAAACATAGTTGCTGATAATTTTTCAATATAGACAGTAACTGATCAATCCCATAGAGTTTTTAATTCCAAACTGTCAGACACCTGTGGAAGAAAGTAAGATATTTTTTTCTTTAAACTAGAAGGTCCAATTGGTAATTCAATAGATAGAAGTGTATAGCACAACTACTAAGACCAAGCTGTTAGACACCACTTAAAACCCTTCAATAAATATGAGGAGGAAGAAAGGAAGTAGTGAAGGGGAATAAAAAAGGAAAGTGGATCTTTTCTGATGCACAAGCAAAAATAATTATAGAAGGAGAATTTTAGAGAATCAAATTTACATACTCTATAATCAATTGCTTTGTTACCTTTGTATTAAAATTTACATAATAAGATCCAAATGTTACTTCAGTGTACACAAAGATATTATGACAGGTCATGAAGACAAACCCAGGTTAGCACAAGTATTTAATGCAGAGACAGCAAGGTATTTCATGTGTGGGTGAGAAGCAAAAAGGACAGTCCACAACATAGCAATGAAAATTAAAACAGACTTTGGGAGTAATATGCCTCAGTCTAGTTCCTTTTCTTTAGTCTTACGGTAAGGCGTATGTGACTTTACAAAGCAGATGTCTAAGGCCAGGTACTCAGTGTCACCTCATCTTAGGGCTCAGGGGGAAAAAGAAGAGTTAAGCATGAACCACTGATAAACGTGATGAACTGCCAGATATTTCTAAGTCATTTTGTTTAATTAAATTATCCTTAAACATTATTTTATCTGACTCCCCTGTAAATTCTAATATTTCTTAATATGCTCTTGCAGTAGAAACAATGAAGAATTTCTGTCTTCATATGAATCAATTAGTTGCTTCAGGATTACTAGTGTGACTCAAATGAGGTTTTAAGTTAATTTGTAACAGGTTTGTTCTGAACAACGGGATTAAAAAGTCTGCATATATTTCCCATGTGTCTCTGTACATTACAAAACTGAAAATAAGTAAAATGCCCCATTACATACCTATCCACCAGAAGTGTTTATATTTTTCTCATATAACATCACATTAAGCCCAGAGAACAGCTTTGCTGTGACATCGTCCTTTCACTCTGCTAAAGTGAGTGAAAGAGAAGTGTAGTGTATCCATTTCTAAAAACAACAACTAATCATAAAGCATTAAACTGGCCTTAAATTTGTGTGAAGAAAAGTACATCTATATTTTCATGCAATGGACCCATGTTTTCAGTGAATATTCTTCCTAAATAGATAATATAAAAGTAAAACTTTCTTTTTGTGTGTGGGAGAGGGTTTAAAAGGGTGATTAGCTTTTGGCAGATGTTGACATATTTTCAAAAATAATAAAAGGTTTCTCTGCGATATACTAAGATATAACAAATACATTTAAAAAGCCAAAACGAAATAGTATGTTAACCTCTACTATGTGGAAGTTTGTGTTTCATCTAAATTTAACATATTACAGGATTAAACTCTACCTCCCTTTCCCCTTCCAAAAACAAACACAGAATTAAATGCAGTCTCTTTCCTGAAAGCCAAGAGATGGAGAATCTTGAATCTGTTCATGTTTCCAGTTCCGCTGCTGTTGCTTCTTAATCTTTTTCTCTAGTTCCTACTAGCACATTGACTAATGTCTGAATATTGAATTCTAGAAAGGGGAGATGAAAACATTTTAAAGTTACTTTACATAATACAGTATAGAACACGTTCAAATCGAAGTGTTACTGTTACCGAGCCTTCCTAACTCCAGTACAGTAAGCGTAGTTTGCCTTTGTCAAAAACCCACATCCAGTGACAGCTATCCTTTGGCATGCATAGTATATAAATCTATTTCCAAAGGAGAATCCTTTAGTTTGAATAGTAAATCACTATTAACATTAAGGAATATTTTTGCACTAATGGGAAAAATAATTTGTCACATAACAAACTAGTTTTTGGATAGCATTTCTGTTTTCTTATCTCTGTGTTTGATCCATTTTCAGTATCTTTATCTACTATTAGGCCATCCAGGGTCGATTATGCATGCATTCTAATACATACTTTTTTCTTTATGCCAATACATCCTTTCCCCACAGTTGCCACCCCAACAGTACAAACTCCTAGACCCTGAAATTACTGGCTCAGGATATCACATGCTAGACAGCACTATGACACAGGAAAAACCTTTTAATTCAGGAGAAGGTGTATTTATGCTATCAGATTTTTCATCCCACCCACAACTGTATTTAGTCGTCAGGACACAAAGTCTCCTCAGAGAAGCAATCAATGCCATTCTTCAATTGATAAAGATGTTGACTGAAATGAACTCTACTCTGAAATGAGCATACTATCTCTGCAGCACACAACCCGCTGCTTATTTTAAGCACCTAACTTCATATTAACAACTTTTGACATACATAACTCATTTTACATGCGAGTTAATCAGAATCTTACTCTGAAGTGCTGGATAATATGAAGCCAACTGTTTCAGCATCCTGGTCATTGTCGGTATATCCTTTCCTCGTAGTCTATTCAAAACACTGGGAGTAAGACCAACAGCATCTTCACCAAACATCTTATCCGAACTTCTGCATAGCTAGCAATCTCTGTATGAACAGCTCCCAAAAAAGTAGTAATTATGTGAACCCTAATCATTTCTGTAGCCTGACTTTGGATGCCTAAATTCTAGACACCTAGATTCCAGGTTCTACCTGGAGCCACCTCTTCCTGAAGAAGTAGAATTTCCAGAACATGTACACGTATTCCTAAACTCATGACCCATGTAAAAATAGCTTTGTGAAAGATAGTTTGCTGAATATCTCCCAAATGAAGCATATGGGGCAGAAGAATTGGGATAGCAAAATGTTTTTAATTTTTTCTGATTTATTAAATACAACTGGAGCAACTGTTTTGCAAAAGAAACTTAATTCAGTGAAAGCTCCTTTTTTGCTTGAATACAAGAAGTGTTGAACGCACACCTACTGGGTTAGCAACCATCAGGCTTCTTTCCTTCACTGGATTTGTAAAGCTGACTAAAATTAAAATTAATAGAAGGGGAGTAACTAATTAAATCACTTGAACTTATAAATCATCTGAATTCTATTTTTTTTTAAACTGTGGAAGCATCTTAAACAAAATCTACCAGTGGAATTATCATTTGAAAGCCTCTCAGGGATTAGGATACACTAATACTATACTAAGCACAATTACAAATAGTCAAGTTAGCATGGCTTAAGAAGTTGATACTTTTTGACTGATACATGGTAGTAGCACATGTGCGCTCAATACACTGTGGATATGACATAAAATGGCACACAAAAAAATTTCATTTCAGTGCTTTTTTTTTTTCCTAAATGTATCAGCTCTGCAGTTTGCAGGAAAAACAAATAGAAAGACTTTACAACATTTAAAGCTTATAAATCCTCTAGAGATACAGTCAACAAAAATCTGCCACAAGCTCTACTCTTGCAGCTCACTCTAAAGTCCTTTCTTACTGAACTTCTTTTTATCCCAAGTTGTGAGGGGTGGAAATAAACTGCTCAAGGCAGCCAGCAGTCTAAGGAAACAAGCTAAAAAACTCCCTCATTGTAATCGTTCGCATTTCTGGTAGAGGTATTTACTCTCAATGCCAGAATGACAGATACTCCTCTGAAGACAGCTTGACACACTGAACCTTCACACTGAAACTAGGAGGATGTTATTGCTTGGATTTCCAATAACCTCTACTACTGTGATGCTGTTCAGTGAGACAGAAGTGTTAGACAGTTAAGGTTGAAGTCATTAAGGCTGTAGAAAATGATACACTGAACTGACTCAGAGCATAGAGACATACAGTAATCTAGCAAAGTAGTACTGTGGCTGGCCATAAATGTAAATTCTTACATAATATGAGCAGTGTTAAGAGTAGACTTAAACTAGTAGAACAAAATGCTTAAATTACCTTTAGATTTTCCATACAGCTTATAGTGTTTTTGGATGCTTTCCCCTGATGGAAATTCATCTCGAGATATTGACATCAGTGGCCTCAAACAATTAGCATAATTAGCCTAAACAAAGCAAAAGGTCAGAATGTTTTGAGTTTTTTGAGTTTTAAACTCAAATCTTGAGTGAAGAAAAAACAACAACAAAACACACACACTACACAAGTTCCCCATAGAAAGTTATTAAAGCTTTATCAACAAGGCAATGTTAGGTGACGGTAAACCCCAGGCAAGATGTTTTGCTGTGTTGTTCAGTCACCACATTAAACCACAGTTTTCAAAAAAACCGTCTGGAGGAGACGTGTCTGGAGAACCGAATGAGGTGGCTGGGGAAGATAGTATTTTCACTATTTTCAAATTTCTTTACTGCTCCCATACCCCTCAACATCACCAGCAGCTCAGATATACTGAACTGGCACATCCATAAATCCTGTCTCTAGCCAGGGAACACAGAACAGAAGTCCCAACTATTGCCTAGGATTGCCTATTACAACAATTTTTAACTAGCTCATGAGAAATGTATTATATTCACTTGTTAAAATGTGGCACATATGGGAAATATGAAAACCAAAAAGCTTCATGTCGACATTTTAGCCACTAATAATTCATCTTGGTTTCAGCCAGCTTCCAGTCCCTTTTTTGTGAACTTTCATCAGAGTTCTCCCATTTTCAATTCCAGCACAACTTCTCAGACCTTAAACAATTTTAACAGACTCCAGACTGGGCACTTTCTTTCATGCTTTCTATACTGTTTTCCATAGGAAGTGTGGCCTGTTATACTTGAAATCCACCAGGACACTCAGTCTGTATTTTAGATGAGAAAAGTCTTTACATTTTCCTAGAAAAAAAAAAAAAGTAGTTCTCAGCAAACATTGATTTTTATATAAGGAGAATACTTTGTTTTTGCTGATAACATTACAATGTCAAACTGCTAATCTTGTAGGCAAAGTTGCAAGAGTTACACTTGCATTCAAGCTGATGTCATTTAACAAGTCAGCAGAGTCCTTGTAACTGTCTGTGACAGACAACAGAAACTATTTTCTCCATCTGTGACAATGCTTTGTTACTGAAAAGATGATCTATTTAATAAGTAAGGTGATCTCATAACAAGATCGCTTTTGATTCCTTTGTATGGGTTGTTTCCTCACCTTGCTTTCTTCTTTCATAAGGCTAGAAAATTAAAAAGAATTATTAGCAAATCATAGGAGTTTCCACTGTACTACTGCAATACAAGTATTACCCAAACAGAGCAGTTACTGGCCCTAAAGTGGCTGCAGTTTAAATTTTAAAGCATGGGATTCAGTAACCACACCTAGTCACCTAGCACTTTTTCAGACACTATAGAGCATCCATGATGAAAGGCCTATGGGAAACTTGTGCCCTTATATATTCAGTATACCCTAGAGCATCTATGTTTAGGCAACTGTATTCCATGCAAGAAGTCAATATGGATTGAACTTAGGTGGGCATGTCTCCCATATGCAAAAAGTGAAAAGTTTTTTTTTTCTTTTTTTGCTGCGAACACACCAGTGTTCCTCAACACAGCATATGTTCTAGCCTTCCAATAGGTTATGAAGACTAGAATGACTAATAATCTCTCTTGCAGTACAAGACTGTAAGCATGAAGAAACAAAGTAAGCTCTGTACATCAAGGAAGTCTGTGAAAGACAGTAGCTATGCTTCAGAGGAACAGATATTGCATGGTAGATAACTATCATTTCTTAAGTACTTATTGAGTACCTAAGTACTTTGGCAGTCCAGCTAGCATGAGCATGAGACTCTTAATTTCAGGGTGGTGGGTTCAAGCCCCATGTTGGGTGTTTGGCTTTTCTTGGGGGGGGAGGGGGTTCTGCGTGGCATCCGAGAAGATGAGCAGGAGATTGACAGGGTATTCACATTGTAACGCTGTTGAAGAAGGCTGGAAGTTGATGACCTCTCGTAGAAGGAGAAAGGCACCTATCTGCCGACCTGACCTCCTGTCTAGAGAGGTTTGCTGCCTGCCAGGGGCTCGAAGAAGAGATGCCTTGGAAAGACTGCCAAGGCTTGTCCATGCATCAGACTACTACCCTCTGCTGCTCTTCCGTGTGGGCACTAACGACACGAAAGGCAAATTGGAAACCATCAAACGGGACTTCAGAGGACGGGAGGAGGAGTAGATGAGTTTTCCAAGTTAACAACTGGCTGCGCTGCTGATGTTGGCAGCAGGGCTTTGGTTTCTATGACCATGGAACCCTGTTTGAAGATCCGCAGCTGATGGGGAGCGACGGGATCCACCTACCAAGCGGGGCATGCGCGTCTTTGCCAACAGATTGGCCAGCCTGGTAAGGAGGGCTTTAAACTAGGCAAGATGGGGGAAGGGGAGTGGTATAGTGGCAGGGGAGTCAGTAAAACACTGCTCAAGTCAGGATGCCTCCAGCGGGTGCATATAGCCAGGGGAGACAGCATGCGACATGACTATGGAGGATCCTCTTGCACCTCTCCTGGGAAGCTTGCATGCCTGACTGGCTCTCTGAAATGCCTGTACACCAGTGCACGCAGCATGGGGAATAAGCAGGAAGAATTAAGAGATCTGTGTGCAGTCGCAGGGCCTTGATCTCATTGCGGTTACAGAGACATGGTGGGATAGTTCACATGACTGGAAGGCTGTCCTGGATGGATAGGTGCTTTTTAGGCAAGACAGGCCAGGAAGGCGAGGGGGTGGAGTTGCCCTTTATGTGAGAGAGCAACTGGAATGTATGGAGCTCTGCCTCGGGGTGGATGAAGAGCAAGGTGAGAGACCATGGGTAAGGATTAAAGGGCAGGCTAACCTGGGTGACACTGTTGTGGGGGTTTACTAGAGGCCACCTGATCAGGAGGAAGTAGTCCATGAGGCCTTCTACAGATAGCTGGAAGTAGCCTCACAATCACAGGCCCTGGCTCTCATGGGGGACTTCAACCACGCTGACATCTGCTGGAGGAACAACACAGCTAGGCACAAACAATCCAGGAGGTTCCTGCAGCGCACTGAGGATAATTTCTTGACCCAGGTGGTGGAGATGCCAACAAGGAGAGACGTGCTGCTGGACCTTGTACTAACAAACAAAGAAGGTCT